GCTAGCCAGTTTAGTCGTAGTGCAACGTTTGGGGTTGATGAGAAAATAGACTTATTTGAAAAGATTGGTCAAGTAAAGGGTTCGAACCCACAAGAGCCTCTAACAAGAGAACTATTGGATTACCGGTTGAGGTCTCTGACAAAATCGGTATTAGAAAGGTCCCCCGTATGTCAAATGTAAATGCAAATCATTGCCGATCTTTAAATGTTATCACACTCTTTCATGGTATAAGTCAGTTTATATTTCTAAACATAGGGTACATTCGTTATCCAAATTACATTACACACATATATATTCACGAGTTTCCTCATATACCTAAATGAAAAGAGGGGTGTATTGTTTTACTGCTGTGTTGTTGTAACCTAGTTTTGACCTAATGTTACATTGAATTAATTATGCGGGCATGCTCAGTTGTGTCTATCAGCCAGGAGACAAGTTCTGTCATCATTCTGGCTATATAAAAAACTGTTCTTTCCAATGATTCTTAAAGAACTATTACAGTATGCCGATAAAACCACATCTAGCTAAAAAACGCTTTGGTATTCTTCGTCTGAACTATGTTATGTACAATATATAGACTCTATAAACCAATGGCGGCCGAGGTTTCGTTTAGGGCGAAACAGCCACATAATCCCATAAAGTGATCCATTTTATTGCGTCTGTAGTATATTAAAATGAATTTTGAATATTTTGTAGAAGTGAGCTTGTAGACTGAATATTGTAAAATACTTTATTTTAGCTGGAATTAATTTTCACTGAAAAGACATTTTGGGTGTTTTGTATGGAATTTATTTTCACTGATTTTTGACAAGCTCAATGTAATTTAGGGGAAAAGGTATATTCGCTGAATTTTATTTTCACCGAGTCATCCATTCAGCGAAAACAGCGAAAATTAATTTTTAGCAAAAATAAAGTATTTTACAGTACACGATAATCTCTGGCAGTGACTCGACACATTGTCATATATTTGCGTTGCCAGATTAAATACCAAACAAAAAAAGTAGGATATCAAAAGTAGCAATTTCAATATAGTCAGTTTTTGACCATGGTAGATCAATCATGTGTGGTTCGATCGATTCGATTTGTCTGATTCGATCGATTCACAAGCAATACCGGATCTTAATCAAGTTTAGCAAGATTCCTGATTGAGCAAAGTGTAGCTTTGGTTGACAATAATAACAATTTAATATCCTTGAGTGATGCGTAAGTTCGTCGATGCAATCAAAATAGTCTATACAAAGCCCTGCAGAAATTGACCAGACAAATCGGGGTGAATCCTTCAAAGCTCATAATTTGCGATAAATCTGTTTAAATAATAGCGAGTACGAACAATTTCAGGAATGTCATACAGTACATTGACAATTATTTGCGTTGAGATAAGGTGAACCCCAGGCAGGGTTTGACAGTTGACAATGATTCTGTATTTTTTCTCATTTATGAAATAAAATATTGATTAGACATTCGTCGTTTGTACGTCATCATTTGAGATTATTGCAGAACTCTGATTGGCCAATATTGAAAAGTCATTCTCAAAATACAGACTAGCAAACAGAGATGGTAGATTCGTTTATTCATGAAACAAAGTTAAATTATACATGACGTCGTGTTCCTTTGCCATAATAATTGTTCATCCTTCTGCACATAGCACGCATGAGTTGTTAGTTAAACCCATAATATAAATGACATTTTGTGTATTTTGCGTTTTATATAATTGTCTTCTCTAGGGAGCCAATATTTGTTATTGGCACATACACTATTATACATACTAGATATAAATAATGGCTTATATTCCCATGTAATTATTGGTATACAAGTCGCTGGTTAGTTACCATGGTTACACATATGCATACGCTTCATTTGTGGAGTTTATTCAATAGAATAATAATCCACAGCTTGTGTGGATAACAGGATTAATATTATATGTCCTACAGATAAAAACGAAAAAGTAATCAGCATTTAACGAAATCCCAAGCTCAGAACTGAAATAGTAGATATAAAACCGACAGGTGTGGTTTACAGTAATGCCGTACTATTGCACGTGTAACAGCAGTGGTAATAATTGTAGTCTATAAACAGCTGTGCCCCTTGCAGTTTCAGTCGTGGCGCATTAGACGACTAGGGACACAGACTTCGTCGATATTGTCAATATTGTTGTTGCAGGATTTTACATATCGCCTACCTTACCGGAGGTGAGTATTTACTATGATGTTTTGTGCCGATATCACAAATATTGACTAATAATATGAAAACATGAACAACATATTGATTTTGTACAACGCAGGTGAGATACCTTGAACAAATTATTGCATGTGTGTATTAAGTGTGTACACGTCTCATCGGATGTTTATTTGTTTTGAGATGACACATTCAAAGAAAGATGATAGAGAATACTTACTATTTACTTTTCGAAACATTTCGTTTGGTACACCCCTTATGAAATATAAACGTTGACTAAACTTATTAATTTATTTAAACATACCCCGTGTTCCTACCTGGCATCACAGAACGCATACGTCGTATACGATTTTCGTGCTATGTATGCCTGCACACGAAATATCGTAAGTGTTATTCTGTGTCTCTGTTTCAGTGACCGGTCTCCGAGCGCTACATTTCCATGTGTGATTATAATTTCTACGTTCATATAGTTTAAATATATTCAAATATATTCATTTATATTCAGAAAACCAGGAAATGTCGAAGAAACATAAATTGTTTCGACACTATGCGTGAACTATCATTACGCATGTAATATATTGATTATACATCTATTACTGCAGAAATTCAATAACTATGCAAATTAGAACGCAGAATCCAATAATCGGACGAATTCACAACGTTATTGGATTATGCTCGACTTCCAGATCTCATGAGTAGCTCAACGTAAATACAATGATCAAAATTACCCTTTCTGACTTGAATCCGAAAATATATTTTCGTATTAAAATGACGACTTGCTGTCTTATTCCTTCGCGTAACTTTGTAAGAACGGCATAATTCGGCAGTAGTTGCCAACAATTTCCATCAATTCGGCAGTATTTACTGGTGCCGATCTTTAATGTTGGTCGTACATTCGTCTAACGCCCGTTAAGAGAAGATATATAGGAATATGTTTATTAACAAATAACTGAACTTATATCATCATCGCCTAACAACCTTAGGTCATGTAATTATGCACAACGTCATATTGAAGTCACCAAACCGGCAATGCTTCATACATGCTATTCAGGTAACAATGCGATGGTTGTGTACTCTCACAACTATCCGTTATATAATTGGAATAATTAGGGTAATTGTTTTTGTTTTGAATTATTATTAATATACGTTCACTGTGACAGTTTTACGAACGGACGGAGTTCTCAGAGACCTACATTATGCATAACAAAGCCGCTGAATACGTCAAACCAGGGGATCAACGAAATTGAAAACGTAATAACCATGAAAAACTGATTAACATAATCTGTCTAGAATACGTGTTCGTAAATATCGCCAGCGCTGTTGATGTTCACGTTACGAGAGTCTGATGTTTTGTCTGCACTTGTCAGTGATAGGACTCTTCGTCCAATTGTTCTTATAGAACGAACGTAATTTTGAATCGATCGTTTCATCTAATGGGAACACGGGTAACTTTATACTTGTGCAGACTGTTATATTATTTATTTAAACGACTTATCTTTTAAACATTCAATGGAATTAGTGAGAGGATTAAATTCATTCAGTTGGAGAAAACAACATATCTCTGGCAGTTCAGTATTTAGAGTTAGTCAGATGAAAAAAAAGTTATAAAAATATAAGTAATATATTTGTATATAATTTCCAAACTGTCCACATAATGTATGTGAAGAAAAATAAATTTAAATTTCCGTGATTATAAAATTTACTAATGAATAAACTAAATAAATCATTCTAATCAGGGTCGTTGCACGGTATAGTGCACAACGTATGCTGTCCGATCATCGATTCCAATAAAGCGTTTCAAGAATTGCTGATTATATTTTTGAATTAAAGTATATAATTCCACTTATTTTAATTGCATATATAACTTTTCAAACCTTCTTTGTTTTCGGGCGCCATGTGTCTGTTAATGGTGTCAATGTATAATACACTACATTGTTCATCCACATGTTGCAATCAAATACACCGTCATTCCAGCTTGACTACTGTAATTTCAAGTGTGCAGTTATGAGCGTAGACTCGCAGTCAACATCCCGTTCTTATTACGCATAGTTCAATGCACTGTATTAAGTTGCAAATATTATTGTGAAGGTGTATCATAGCAAAAGATTACTATTATTATGGAGGTGAGATCGCAAAATCAAGACTGTTAGACAAATTTTATGCTGTTCATGTAACTAGGATTTTACAAAGAAATTTACAAATAACACGTGATAATAAATAATATTCTTTTATATTATCAGAAATGTTTTCAATGCCATAAAATCACAGTTATTGCCAATATGCGAATTAATAACACATACTATTTTAGCAAATATACAAAATGTATGCTTGTGAGTGTAATAGTCTCCCCGCAGTGGGAAAATAGGTGAAAATAAAATTATTAGCTATTAGAAACTTTATGAAACCATTAAAAGTTGCCTTATACACAGTCGTACATTTAATTCATAGTGGGGTGAACGGAGTACGGGTGCGTATTCTTGTTATCTATGTTGACAGTTTGCTTTTCACAGTGACCATTCCCATATTTCCAAATGCTCTACCCAACGTAAGACTTGATTCCCCTATCCATAGTCTGGAACATGGTAATAAGTGTTGTGACAAATTACTAAACTCCTAGGGGCAATACGATTGGCTAAATTTCCATCAAAAACAAGGAAGCCTGTATACCGTCTAGTGTGAGGCCAATGAAATTTATTCTAGCAAGGGAAAGAGCATATACGAATAGGACAGAAAACATGCTCATGGAACACTAAATTTGACAATTGCCTTACTCCCTGGGCTGATTTACCACATATCGTCCGAGGAGGTCGACTTATATGAAATCCACAAGTACATTGTTACAGTCAATATAATGTAACACATAAAGTCAAAGACAATGAAAAGAAAAGATATAAAATATATATATAAAAAAAACGGGCTTATAAATAATAACTTTCTAGGATCTGTATTTGTTCCTAGTAATCTACAGATAACGAGATGAAGCAACGCTACAGTCCATCATCGTTATTTTATTTGGATGCAACCATTAATTTATGGAAGGACCACAGGACATAACTTGAGCGGAGTTAACGCCCCCTCCCCATTTAAAAATGCCTTGATCATTGCAGGGTAGCGTTATTTTGATTTTTCCAAGGACCAATGAATGCATTTTACAGGAATATTCAAAAACTGCAATTAAAACAGCTTGCTGCAATGTAAGCCTGAGCATCACATCCCCGACATATAAGTGGTTCATGCTTTTTTGCATTTTATAACGCCTTGCTAAATTCTAACTTCTATCCAATCCGGTCGGAAAATTCCAAACAAGGATGATTCTCCACAAATGCTAGAGAACGCTATAACCAAACATCTGTCTTCACTTACAAAATAGAAAAATCCAATATTTAAAAACAAAACAAGAGTTAGTCACTCAGTCACGTACTTTCCCGCGCAGGCAAGGAGAGACATGTTGGTGAACTAGCCTTGTAGTATTTGTATTTCTTTGTATGCAGTTGTAAAAAACAATATTTTTGTTACAAAAAAGTGATAAATTGAAAATGCAGACCTCACATAATTATATTTCTGAATGGGCTAGCCATGTTTTCCACATACAAAAATACACAAACTTATGTTTATTTAATCCGGTATTACAATACACTTTTTACAATGAATTCGCTTCTGAAAAAATGAAAACAAACGAATGACCACAAAATGTATTCCTACCCTTCCTTTTTACCCTTCAACATCGTTGGTTCCAATACTCATTCGAAAGTAAGTACAACAAGTTTAGCTAATATCTGTACACGACTCGCCAAACAACTCATTCCAGCCACTCATTCTATTATTGATGAATGAGGGCGCCATTAACAAGCAACAAAGATCTAATGGCGAAATTAGACAGATACAATGTATAGTTTTGTTTATAAAGTGAAAAAGAAAAACATTAGGTAGTCATCAATGTCTACTGCAAAGTAAATGTGTGTTATTTTTCATAGTGGCTGTTCAAAACACATTTTCTCTCTCAAGACATTTTATGAGTGAATTACAAATGAGAGTGCTAACATACATATTCCGTCACGAAACCGTCTGTGTCTGGGAATATTTGTCAAAGATGTAATACCGTCTTTATAGCCAAAGCTAAATTACACCTTATGTAACAAGAATGGTGGTACGCGGGTTTTAAAATATGATGCCCTAGCCTTCTAATCAGTTATTATCCTATTAACCAAAATGCTTTTTCCTATTTAATAGATCGAACAAGTGTTTTCTAATTATGATTAAAGAACTGGCCGTTGTATTAGTGGTGATATGGTACTCACCAATAACTGCTGAATTACCGAATGTAAGTTTATATTCAATACAATAATAACATGAAGTAAAACTCGATGGAATGACAAAATAACATAATGTACGAGTAAATGGGAGGAAGTGAGTGAGTGAGTGGTTTGCGTGGTATTGTGCGTGATAGGAGTTAGATGGCGTGAGTCGAATGGATTGTATGAAAACGAAGTAAGATATACTGAGTTAAATTATTCTATTCGTTTTAGACTCGTGCTGCTCACGTTGATGAACTTCTTGAACGATATCAAAGGAGCCCATTCACGCCCGACTTTCATTATGATGACGAATCGCCATATGACGGAAGTGAGTGATTTTATTAAAGAGATGATGTGCATGCGAACATGTATTTTGCGGGCTTGTGGGAGATGATTTTCAGAAGAACGTAATTTAGGAGATAGTATACCATATTTGAATTTTGCGGGCTTGCGGAGGCTGATTTTTTGAAGAACGTAATTTACGAGATATTTATTTAGCGAAGCCGTCTCACAACGACAAACCATCACAGAATTGGGGTGTTAACTTCTCATACAGGGACATTGCAAGTTTTGTTTATTCTGAAGTTGCATTTTCAAAATTGCGGCAATATTAACTACCAATAAGTATACACAGAATGACTGTATTTCAAGTAACTTGTTAAAAAGTAGCACTGAGATGTGAACAATGTGTTTTCAGAACAGCCAAGACTTGTTGGTAAACAAGAAATTATTGTTAATACTAATGTTTTGTTCCGCATGCTTGTTAATTCATTGGATTCATCATCCCCAAACCGTTGTTATTGTAGCACACGAATGAGTCTATGAAACAATGACATCTGTAATTCATATGTCCTCAATGATTATCATAAAGTTATGATATTCGGAGTATCAGAGTATTCTACCCGTTCTTTACTTGTTCCTCTTAGTTGCCAGCTGTACGTCAGAGTGTGGCGGCGAATTGCGGGAAGCTGCTATTGGATGCGATATTAGAAGCGAGGTGCAAGTCAATTGCTATACTGGATTTATGAGTGGAGTAGTATGCTGCGTCAGTAAGTACTTGTTTAGTCTAGGCACTCAGTTATGTTTTTTTAAGTAAATAAACGCGGATAACCGGTAAAAAAAGAAATTCTTGGCTACGTAAAATATGTCATCAAATTGAATCGTGGTCGGGGAGGGGGTCATGGTGAGAAAGATGGTGGGGTTGGGGGGTGTTTGACTGCTCGAACTTGTTGAACCCAATTGGGGCGGCCATTCCAACTTGAAAATAGTCAAGAATTTGAAGTTCGTAAAATGAAATAGAAAAATTGGTTATAAGTGTGTTTATAAACCGCGTATACACTACGCAAATCGATTCAACTTGATAGTTCAACGTGAATAGCGTGTAACTTTTAGTTTTGTTTGGTGAAACAATTATCGAAGATTTTGGTCGGATTGTATCGACAACTTGAAGGACCTGCTAGCGCACGTTTATCAACGGATTGGTGACTAGTGAGACTTTCTTGCATTTAGAGTAATTAACGTCAACCGTGTATACAGTGCTCTCCTGCATTATTCCTGACTGTATTTGAGTTAATGTGTGCTGTGTCTTAGACACTATTTTATTTTGGCTTATTTAGTTAAAAATACAATTTGTGTCACTGTCAAACGGCATAGAGAAAGGGTATGTCTTTTTTCTTAATAAGTGTGGGTGATACTGCATGTTCAAGTTAAAGTTCACGGTTGTTACAGGCATTATATTTAAGACGTGACAGCCTTAACTTTTTTTGTTAATTGTTTTTAGTGCATTACTTACTTTTTTCGAATTCCCTTTCGGAAGTTCTTATTTTGTGTTAACTTCACTACACTGTTGTATTGAGTACACAACTATCGATTTCAATAAGTTGCTATCCGATTTTCAAAAAACAAGTTCTGCTGTAGACTCTAAAGAAGAGGGATAAGAAACCGAGTCATTTTTTTATGTAGTGTTGGTAACTGATAATTTGTGTCATTAATCTGGACCTGCAGCTGACGGCTCGCGTCCTGTTCTACAGAAAACGTAACTAAAGTCAACACACATGGTCAACGTGAACAAGCGATCAACGCATTTTTTTGAAATTAAATAAATAATTACGCTATTTTATGCGTGGAGTATAAGCTCATAAAACCGATAATGGCTTATTTAGACATCAAATTTATACTAGTATTTTGAGGCTTTTTCAACTTATGTTTAAATTGGGGTATACGAAACGTTCCAACCACCTGTTTTGGACGAGAAATGCATGGAACGGAGACCTTTTCACTGTTTCAATGTACTTTCGCATAAATTAAGATACTTTGTGTTATAATCATCTTTGGCTGAATCTGTGTAAAAGTTCTCGTTTGTTTAGACTTTTTAATAGGGTCATCTTAAAAAAAAAACACGTACATTTCAAAATGTTCTAGTGTTGTTCAGTGAAATGTTACATGTTCATCTTTTACCAGCAAACACATTTGCTAAGTAATTTTAAAATATTACTAGGAATCAAATAAATAAAACAACATGTCTTTTTTCTTGAAAGGCAAATCTTGTCACGATGCGATGGGAGTATGTCGAAAAAACGAGCTTGATCCATTTGAATCTGAACTGGCTAGCTCTGGCATGACATGTCGAGTGGGTTACACTTGTTTTCGCAGTGAGTATCATATTCTGCCGCAAGGTATATCGATTAAAGCGGGAGGGTCGTCACCTGCGCACGCGCGAGAATTGATTCCCAAGCGACGATAACAACGCACGCTAAAAAACGCAAAGGCTCATGGATAAACTCTTGTTCGTAAAAAACGACACGCTATGGCTGTCTGACGCATGCGCAGGTGACTACTCTCCAGTTTTAACTACACCACACTTGTATACGTATAGCACATTTATTGATTAATACCCCTTCACTTCAAAAAAAATTAGTAACCATGTACCGTAAAAGTGGGCGTGTGTGTTTGTGCAACATCGTTTGACACCTGGTCCAGTTATGGACGGGAACTTTGATGCAAACGAGTCATTCAGAGACTGAATTACTCATTTTTATCATACGGAAGTTTAAAGCGGGGGAGTCGTCACCTGCGCATGCCGTCAGATGGCCATAGCGTGGCATTATTAAAAAC